AAAACAATATATGTCGATTTGTTTCAACGTTGCAGAGATCTTTGTAACTATTTTGTTCGAATATGTATTAACTATAATTCTTCCCTTCAAATACCTATATTCGCTTACAGTAATACTATTAAAAAAAAAAAACTACATAAGAAATCAAATTATCGGTTTATCAACTCTATGTAGATAAATTAGCTTTTCTCTGCTATTTTACCACTACCAAAAGCTCGCTAATTTCGCGAAATCATCGGCGCCGTAATTATTGGTCTCTCCTAGGGGCCGTAATAGACACGGCGAAAGACGCTATAACAAAGGCGTGACCCACTGCTGGGATCGTAAATCCCTTATCGAGTCTCGCCTCGATCAATCAATCGTGGCACGTATTGCACGCGCAAGAACGGCCGGCGAGCGCCGCGCGAACGTTGCACGTCGCATAGGACCGATTGTTAAGTGTTTCGACCTTACGTCGAGTGTCAAGACGAGAACGGATGATCTAGCCAGTGGGTCAGCAGGCTACGATTTGTTCGGGCCTAACGAGTAACATCCTCATCCGTGCACTTTACCTTTCGCTCGCGTCGCTCGATATCAGCGTGCATACGGCATTGGTAATGCACTCGAGCGAGTGCCGTGCACTTCGTCGGCGGTGTCCCGTCCGCGTTGCGGTTGTAACGAGGCGAATTGTATTTTTTTGGTCCCACCGAATAATGAATAATGAACGCTCATTAACGTGAGTGAATTATTAATTCCGCCCGATTTAAACAGGCTTCTTCAAATCTACTTATCGCTGGCCGCAACACGACAACATCGTTCGTGATTTCGATATCTTTAAAAAAAAAGTATAAATATACAATAAAATAAAAATGTACTTAAGATAAAATAGAATTTACTTTCGAAATTAAACTTAAATCAAAATTGTTTAGCTTATACCGATCCGACTATTCTTTTGCAAGTTATATATTATAATATTATATAAATATAATAAATATTATATAAATTATTGGTTCTGTTGTAACATTGATAATTAACAATTTTCAATATTTATATATTGTGTTTTGTGTGACGTATAAATTTATTAAAATGAGCATCAATGCATGCATCATTAAAATGCATCAAATTTCACAACTCTTAATTGTTGTGCGATCTTTTTTTATGAAAAACTCTGAAAATATTTTTTTTATTTGAATTTTTTTCTTTTTGAAGAATTTGTGCGTCAATTCCATTTGATTGTCGCGATGTGCGTTTTGAAGGTTCAAACACTTCGTGTGCACAAATTGTTACTTAAACGGTCTAATATGACCGAGTGCCAAGATAAAGAAGAATAGCTCGATCTGGACACTGGGTTAGCAGGGTACAATTCACTTTTACTTAACGACTAACATCCTCATCTGTGCGTCTTTCGACTTAATCCGCATTGGAACGCGTCCCAAACATAATGCAAATGCGTGTGATGGTTTATGTATTTAAACTAACGATTTGTGATGTATCAGGCGTATGCCTATTGTATGAACATCGCGCCCTGATTCCCGATTAAATTACGCAAAATTTAATCTGAGATCGAATCGATTTAGAAGATCAATCCTTAAAAAGAATTGTGACTTGATCTTCAAAAATAAATCAATTATCAGACAATAATTACGAAAGAAATTAAATTAAATTAACAAGAGAGTCATAGCCAATTCTTCCAGTTCCTTGTCTATAAATTAAATTAAATTAATTAAAATAAATTAAATAAATCAAATAAATAAATTATATATATTTGTACAGTTAAAATATATGATTCAATCGTCTGATTATTAATGTCAAACTATGATACAAACAAAAATTAAGATTATAATATGGGGCACCCCTGCATAATACTTCATTTAACATTTAACATTTTTCAAGAATTTTTGAAGAACAAAAGAACAGAGATAGGAACGAGATTGCTTTAATACGATGCAGTTTGCACGTTGGCTTGCAGCCGGTCTGCTCCGAACGATCATTGCGAGTTGAGAAACGCGTAGATACAAGTGTGTGCAACGTCGGATGAACCGGCGTCTAATCTTCCTTGCGTATGTGTTAATCAACAAATCGTTTCGTGTCGTGTACATACGTTTCTACGAGTGTACACGGCGTAGCTCTAGAGGCGAGGAAGAAATTGAACGAACCAAAATAGCCCTAGTATCATGCAAGAGACAATGGAATGGACAAACTGTCGCATTATTTATAGAATTTTGAAAATAAAAAAACTTTCCTTGCTTATGTATATGTGTGTAATCACTGATATTTATGCAATAGCAGAACAATTATTTATTTATTGTTCCCGAGCCAAAATTTTTATCCTACTCTTGATCTCAATTAGAATTTTTACCTGTGTTTTTACCTGTGTTATTATCTGTTTTACCGTAAGTAGTAGGATAGACCTTGTTTTTTAGATCTTATTATTTAATACCTGCAAGCTCCAATTTAGAATCATAAAGTTCTATTGGAAATGGCCGAAAAGATCATCTTCTTTCAAGAAATAGAAAATTGTTCATTTGTTATTTATTTCGGATGTAAATAATTTTATTTTAAAATTAAAATAAAAAATTTCGATTCATTCTTGTTGCGAAAAATATAATCAAACAAGATGAAAAAAATGGAATAAGTTGACAATTAATAAAAAAATAACTTGGATGTGTTTATAGTTTGAAAATCTCATTATGTAATCTCGAATGAAATTACGTTGTTGTTGCAAAACAGAAGAAAACGGTAGTTTCGATGAGTATGAATAAAGTCAAGGTGCAATAATGTTTTGGCAATCAACAAGATAGCATTTAGCATGTACTTTTGTCGGTTCATGATAAGATAAAAAGTTTTACCTATCTAAGCACGACACAACGCATTGGTAGTGTCGTAATATTCGCATTCGATGATAAAATGAACGAATTGATAGCAAAATGTAAACTTTACTCATTGTTACAACCTTCTTTGAAGGAGAAAAAAATGAGTAAATTTTATAAATAATTCTTCAAACATTTTCCGTGTCGCTATTTTATTATTTTTATTTACTAACAAATAAACACCATTCCTAAATGTAGAACTCATTTCTAATCGGTTTCCGAATATTTTTAGAAAATAGAAAATACATCGAGAAAAGGAGAAAGTGAGTTTTTGCAATTTTCAAAAACATTTTTTAAGAATAGTTTTGAGAAAGAAATCTCTCACTTCAGGAAAATTATTTTCTTACTTTCATTCATTTGCAAATAATAACTCTCTTATCTGTTACGTTGAATACAATCATATCAGTGTTATTTCCCTCGTAAATATAATTAAGTAGGAATTATATACCTCATAGCTCCAAGTGCAGGGAATCCCAGCATACTTTTTCACGCATCTGCCCAGCTCGACGTCCTCGTGTGTGGTGTACAAATGACGCAGACAATATTTGATATGCGGCACGATCCTCCTTAGAGTTTCCCTAGAGAGCACTACCCCCGGACCACCCATGCAAAAATTTTCATCGTACTCCAATGACAGCAGCCCGAACTCTTCTGAGTTCCCTCTGCCAGCCTGTCCGATGTACATTGCCCTTCTAGAATCGACGGATCTTAGGAGCGTCTCCAACCGATCTGTTCTCACGTATACGTCATCGTCCGCCCTCAGGAACCACTCGAAGCGATCGCCAAAGTTGCTCCACATGTACTGCAGCATCATAAACGACTTCTTTTGCGGCGGATAAGTGTCGTCCACTCGCGGCAACGGCACCAAAGGCAGATCCGGGCAGTTTTCGGGAACCGTCGAGGACTCGGACGAGAAGAAGGCTATCTTGCCAGGTAATTCCTTGCCCCATGTCTCGTAGACGGCTTTGGCTCGCGTGTCTAGATACTTTTGAGCCGTCATCACGCCTACAAACACCAGATTCGATGTCGAGCTGTTGATTTGCTCGTCGTCCTTCAGCGTCGGCACGTTTCGAGCCGGCGCTTTCGACGGCGATGACCGCAAACCGGGCATGGAGGTCCAAATGGCGACCTGTTGCTGTTGATTGAAGACAATCAGGCGGTAACTGAGGATCAGAAAACCCAGGATCAGGCCTACGAAGAGGCCCAGAAAGGCGCTGCCCACTCCACGCCGTTTACGCATCACTGGGTGGGTCACCTCTCCCATTTACGCTCTTTAAGAGTCCTCGGGTCTTCGGTCGGCTTCATCCTCGTCATGGTACCCGTAATCGTCGGCTCGAGTATAGTAATTAGTCCCGACAAAGGATATCTTTTGGGTAGTCCCATCGCTCTGCCCGCTACTAAAACGGAGAAACTTTCTTCGTGACGTAAGCAATTTTATCTCGTGAATAAAAATCATTCCAATTTATTTAGAATTTTTTTTAACATAAAGATCTGTCTGCAGTAAATTAAATATTTTAGGATGAAAATTCGTTTCTTCAGAATTTGTTTTTTATGATTTTCTGTTTGATCTACTCTTCTAGAATTACATTTTTTATAACCATATAACTAGATTACCATTTTAATTTTTTATAGTTTTTTATTATTCTAATAAGTTTCGTCTATTGTTTATAGATACATTGGTACTTATTGATACTTTTTGCAATATATTTTTATGCAATATATTTGATTACTTATTTACTTTACTTAGTTATTTATTGTCATAATTTAAGAAGTATTATGTTGCAGACTCTCTTTGTATCTTAAATAACACTTCGTAAGACATCGTTCGTAGAAGGTAAGCTTTTAACAAGAATAAACAATTCTGTCTGAACAGAGACATATTTTAAACGAATTCTACGAGCAGCGGACCTTGATTTACGTCCCGCGTTATTCGTAAAACAAACCTCGACTGTGTTTGATCTTCGTCTCTCTTCGCGAAACTGCCTTTTAGTCGATTAGTCATTCTTCTTTTACGGAAGAACTTCAAATCTAATTATACTTGATGCAAGAATTGATGTTTAATTAAGAACTTCAATTAGCAATAGACAAATATAAAAACAGACTTACAGCGAAACTGACGTCAAATCTTTTCTTTAAAGTGACGAAAATGACCATGTCGCGTCGCCTCGGAACGACGAAAGAATATTCGTTGACACACCAACGTTCAATAATCTGAAACGAAAGGAAATTATAAATCTCGAGATGGGTCGTCAAATTAAGTCTAACATGTACAGTTGTGCGCGACTTTGAAGAATGTGGTCGCACACGTGCTAAGCGATGGCGATTCAAATCAACGACGTCAGCAATTAATAATCTAGACATTTTTCATCATCAAGCGTGATTTACAAAACGGATACTTCATTATGATATCGAGTAATCATGATATGAAGAAGCGTCAATTTGTAGCCACCTGACCTTAATGACGTACAATCAGTAATCACAAATAGGATTCTATTTTTTTTCCTTCAATTAAATTAATTTTAATTTAATTTAATTTATTCTAATTGCATTCTAATCCCATTTACATTTACCGCGTTACATTTTACCGCGTTTTATGATTATAGTTAAAATCTTGTTTACGATTATGTAGAAAGTAGCGTGTGTCCAGTTGAAAAGAGACCCAAGTTTTAATAAGAAGTTAAGAAATTGCAATTATCTGCGGGTCGGCGGGCATTACGTAGACTCAAGAAAAATCTTTTCTGCATGATTGGTATCTAATGCTTAGTCATGCGACCTGCGATAACGGAAATGGGAACAAAGCGAGCTCTGTGGATATCTAGAAAGTCGTGAAATGTATAGCGGATGGAACGACCTGTTCCAGAAATGAGAACGCCGACGCCGTTACAAGTCCTTCCTCGGCGAATTAACTGCGCGGTTCTGTTATTTTCACGAATGCACCCAGAAACGCAACGTTCCGTTCGTGAATTCGCCTGTTCCGATAACTGGTGTACAAATATATCGTATATGCAATTAATGCTTCTGTTAATAGAATTAACGCACTCGAATTATCCTTCCATCTATCTTTGTACAAATTACATTAGTTCAAAACCAACCAACTTTACAGTCAAATATTGGCTGGGGAAATATGTAAAAATATTTTTTCAGCAAGCAATTGCGTTCTGGTGAGTGTTTTAGTTACGAAACGACGAACGTCCGTGCGTATTTTCGTAGACGCGGCGAAATATTCTGAAAGAACTCAAGAAAGGGATAATACATTCCTCGTGTGCTTTTTGCTTCGGACGCCCTTTTCTAGATTGCATCCACATCGTTACCTTTAATTTATATCCTTCCAAATCGATGTAGACAAAGGCTCGATCCTTAGGCGAAACCGGTTCCGAGCCGACTAATATGCATGTACGTATATCGACATAGTAGTTCTGAATAATGAGATATTTTTGCAGTTCCGTCGCAAAAGCCGCAAAAGTAGTCGTAAAATTACTAATTTTTCTTGTGGCATAAAAAATATCTTTAAAGATTTTTTTCCTTCTTGAACGTCCGAATTCGATCACTGATCAAGATTAACATAATTTTGCAATTCCGCATGAAACGTTTAACAACGCGTACAGCAATTTTTCTTCTGACGCGACAGGATTGTCCGGCGATGTATCAAATATTTCAGGATCGATCCTCGAGAAGGATCAAGATAAACGCAGCCAGAGTGGATAATTGAACTTGTGTAATAATACGCGCATCACTAATTCATTATTTATAAGATCGCGGCCGATTATTATCGCCGGTGGTTTCTAGGCAAATTCTCGCACGCCCGTTTCCGTTCACACGTATTTCCGTATCACGTGGGATCATTAGATGCATAACTTGCCTTAAAAATTCCTTCAAAGGTCAGCTAACTTACGCAATCGTAAATGCGTTATCACAATGCGGCGGATGCAAACTCACCTCGAGCCAACGTTTCGATCAATCCGTATGTAATTATTAAGCTATTTGTAAAATATTAATCACTTTTCCAATTTTATATTTCTTATTAAAGTACACAAGTACAACAATACGGTACATATTTTATTTTTTTAGTATCAAATATGTATTTCGTATGTACATTTCTGACAAATCCCATTGTATCCTCATGGGAATGAATTTACTCGTTTTATAAACGAAGAAAAAAATCATATTTATATTTATATTTATTTGGAAATCACATTATTACTTATACATTTATATCATATATTTATATAAAAACCATAATTTATAATTATAATTTTATTTATATTTTTCGAGAAGAATAAAAATAAGGTAAAAAAAGGTAAATTTTTTACAGGAATGTCTTTGATGTGTCACGCACAGAAAATGTCACGAGGAATAGAACAGAAGCGATAATCCACGAAGCTACTCGGAGAACGCAGATGCGCGTCGAGTATCAATTACAGTTACTCTTCCCGCGATTCTTCGCTATCACGTGCGTAAGAAACGTCATGCGTTGAAACGTCAGATGCGAGAACCGTTGCGGTCGAAAATCGCGATTCTCATCGCGAGACTCGCCGCGTCGTGTCCGCGGGCCGAGCTGGAAGAGCGACCGATGCACGATGTAATCGCGATTACATGCTCGACTCCTTGAACCCACGAAATCCCGGTGTCCGTCCCGTTAAAGGATACGCTCCGGAATGACGTGCACGAACGAGCGTACGTATGAAAGGCAGGAGAACCGGTTTAGGCCAAAAGTCGGCGCCGTCGGAGGATGCCGCTAGATTGTGCGTTCGGAGCCTTCGGCGTCTAGCCGATTAGTATCGGGGAAGCCATAAAATAGCATACGTTTTAGGTCAAAGTCGCTCCTTTAAAATGGAGATTACAGATTTACGTTACAAAAACAACAAGAAGAAAAGATGAATCGTCGAAACGTTAATCGCAAATGCGACAGTTGCTCCGAAATTCATTCGTGGATTCATATTTGATGGAAAATAATATAGTACATAATATTCAGAATGTATTTCAGTGTGAAGAAAGACGAATAGTACATTTCCATGTAAATTATAAAAAATTGTTATAAAAATTTTTGCAAACTATGCGTTGCTCATTGAGAATTCTTGCGTTATGTTGCGCGCGCGCGCGAATTGTGTCTTAAACTTAACTGGCTTTCCATTTCAAAATATATTAGAAATAAGTTTTATTTTTTACAGCAAATTAAATTTTATATAAATTAACAAATTTTTCTATGTATAAATTTATTAAAATTGCAAATTTAAAGCAAAATGACAGATTTAAATATATTGAAGAATTCGAAAAGAAGAACGTCGAATTATATATGAACACTTCGGATTCGGGTAGTTTAAGTTCAATCTAATTATTAGTAAAGTCAATTTATTGTGTCTAAAGTTCGAATATTTTATCAATGCAGGCAAAACAAGATTAAAAATATTGTCAAACAAATTAAATAAGTAATTAAATTAAATAAATAAAATTTCTTACTTAAGTTTTTTTCTTTTTTTTTAAATTATATAAATAATATAGAATATCGAAAAAAAGGAAGTATGGGATTACAGTTCGAATTATTCGAAAATATTTTTAGTTCAAAAAATTCGAATTAAATGTTCAAACTAATTAATATTTGAACTATTTAATTATTTTTTCAAGCCCTAATTAAAACTCTAATTTTGATAATTAATTTATTTCAGCTTTAAAAGAAGCATATTATAGATGCATACTTTTATAAGAGTAACATTTATAAATTTAAAAAGAAAATTAAATTTGTATTACACATAAATTATTAGTGTACACAAATAACTATAGAACTGAAAAGAATTTTAAGCCTTCCATCATTCCTTTTTACAAATGCAAATAAGACTACATTTAAAAAAATTACAGCCCACATGTTAAACGTCATTACGTCGACCCTGAAAGATCGCGTTTCTCCAACCATATGTAATTCTTGAAAGTGATTCGAAGGCGATTTCCAATAAAACGACCGGGTGTCTGGAAACGCGGTTACGGTTAGCCGGCCGCGGAAACGTCGGTTTACATTAACGAGACGACGAGTGTATGTGTACTAGCCGCTGTCATCGCTAGAAGTTTTGAGAGCGGAGAAGAGGAAGCTTTCTCGACGAGGGGAATGTCGCTCGCTAATTGTTCCCACAGACGGCGAGACGCGCGGAATCGTCCGGCTGACCGTTGACGACGGCCGCGACCGGATTGTCGTGGTCGTGACTCGAATCGAGAGGACGATCCGGGAGAGAGAGAGATAAAAAGAGACCGTTCGATCGACCGGTAAGCCGGGGACGACCCGTAGAGGAGTCATCGACACTCTCTCGTAACACGGGAGTGAATCGCCTCGACACGGCATTACGACATTCTCGTAACACGGGAGGATGATCTATTTCATGCTCTAGCGTGAAAGTCCCATGGGAATACTCCTCCATGGGGGGGTGTTTCTTGTCGAATTTAATCTTATCGTGTGCGCTCGCGTGTAAGCCCGTAAATGGATTTCCTCAACGGAATGATGGCTACACGTCACCATTGATCGGATAGCCACCATTTTATCACGGATATATTTTTCCGCAGTGATGTTGAGTGTTTTCTTTTTCTTTTTTTTTTTTTGTATATTTTATATAATTAATAAAAGAAGAAAAGGAAAAGCTTGTAAGAAAACTTTATCTCTTTTTAATGTGTTTTATTATGTTTTTCTCTCTGACTGGACTTTATATTTTAAGTGCGTTAGACGGTGAGAGGAAGAATGACGATCGAGGGTTTTTTAAAAACTGCAGTTTATAGATTAGTACATATTTTTATCACTCGATGTTGTAAGAGAATATATCGAGATTTGAGAAAATGTCCGATGCTAGAAATAAGAATTATTATCGTGAGAAGGTGCACTAACGGCTTATTACGATCGACAATTCCCGGTTGAATGAATCGCATCAGTAAACCAGCGATTGGACAACAAGAAACATCACGTTATATCATCAAGATCTCGTTTTACTGAGAATCAAAGAGAGAAAAAAGAAACATTTTTATATTTATTTATATAACCAAATAGTCTCGTTCTTTTAAAAAGTGCAAGACAAATGAAAAAAATTCTTGTTACCTTTTTATTTAACTTATCGTAGAATATTTCAGAAGTCTTACAGTTGCTTATATTTTCATAAAGAGAAAAGAAAAATTTTAAAGATTATCATCTTTCTTTAAAAAAAAACATATCTTCTTCTTGTAGAGAAAAAAGTAAATATTCTGAAATACTGTGATCATCTATAATTAAGTCTTTAGAATTCTCTCTCGTTTGAAAGCGCAATATTTATTCTTTACGTAAAATTGAAGGCTTAAAAGATACGCTTATTGCTGATATTAGTAAAACAAATAAAATCATTTTACAGACACGATAACAGATCTACACGTGAATGGCGTTAATTGGTTTGAAACAGCACGCAACGTTCCATGGAAGAAATGACGATTTCCTCGACAGAAGGAAAGAAAAATAGATCATTACGTTGCGCCCTTTAATTATTATCAATCGTCACCTCCGCGTTTCCGCGAAATACGCGTGCGTGATCAGAGACAAAAATAAACCTCCCTCTAGAAAAAGAAACTTACTTTTCAGAACTCGACCGACCGACTTCTTTCGTTGATGCCACACACGCCGTTTCCGTTCGCACGTGGTGACCCTCTCGTCTTTCACGTCAAAAAATGTATTATGTTCTACCCTCCCGACAACCATAAATCTCCATAAACCACATAACTAAATTCACATTTAGAAGCAAAATCTTTCGAGCACAAGTTTCCTTTCCCAGACGTGCACAGGCAACTGATTTGCTGATTATTAATTCGATATCGGCTTATCGATCACGACTATTTTAAGCAAATGCTCGTTAAATGCCAAAGCCGTCACTTTGCCGTCCCCAGAGAATATACTATAATTAAAAAAAATATTGTTTTATACACAAAAAAAAAATCAAACTGCGATTTTTCACAGAAAATTACTCCAAACGATTTTCAATTTTGACACTTAATAAAATAGCAGACGAAACGATCTATTTTCTTTTATTCACATTTTTTCGAGACAGTCCATCCTTTATATCAGAGCACGCTACCACAGAAACTAATGATTAAAAAAAAAAAAAAGAAAAAGACAACAGGAGCACGAGAGGGGAAGATCGAAGATGTTCCGATTTCATTCTTAATCACAGAATTTTCATTGTTGGAGAATTCGACGCGATCCTCAAGAGGCTTACCGAGGTGCCACGGCACTAAAGAGTATCCTTCGCCCACGCCGGAATGCGATCCG